GCTCGCTCTCCCCCTCGCTGGCTCTCCCCTCGTCGCTCCCTCGCTCCGGCGGCGGCGGCGTCACTGCCCCTACAGTAACTGTACAGTACAGCCAAAGCCCCGTATGATGCTCGCGACTCCCTTCCTGGTTTCTCCGAGGGCAAGAGGGGTCCTCCCTTGTCTTAAAGGTGCCGCAGCCGCCGGCCCCCCCCACGCCCGGCCCGCCCCCCCACCCCGGCCTCGGAGGCCAGAACAGGCTCGGCAGGTCCCCTCTTGCCACGTCTCTGCCCTCCCGTGGGGCTTCGCCCGCTGCGCCGGGGAGACCGGGCTGTTATTAGGTTTTGTCAAGTTGGGGGGGGGTCCAGCCCGCCCCAGGCGCGCCCCCCCTCCTCTGACCTCTCCGCCCCGCTGCGCGGCGCCGTGCCAGCTTGCCAGCTTATCTGGCCCCAGAGCTCCCCGGGGCGCGGGGGGAGCGGGCCCCCCGGGGCGGAGGGGGGGTGGGGGCCTCCAGATAAACAGGCCCCCAGCCTCCGCGCAGGGGCGGGTGCGGGGGGGCGCGGCTGTGCCCCCGACGCCCGGGGCGTGGCAGGATGGCAGCGGGGGCGGGGAGGGCTGTGCGCACCGCGAGGACCGACGCGGGCGTGGGTCGCGGCTGCCCGGGCCGCGGGGGCTGGGTGGGGGGCCGGGGAGTGGGGACCCCGGGCCTCCCCGGGCCTCAGTTGGCCCAGGCGCGTTAGGGACCCGGGGGCGGGCTTGGGGATGCCGGCTCGGGCGCGCTGGGCGCCCGGGTGCCCGAATGAGACAGCCAACCTGCCCGGCCGCGATTATGTAAAGGAGTCGCCTCCGCCCGCTGCGCCAGGGGCGTAGCGGGGGAAGGGGTTGGCGAGGGGCGGGCGGGGCGGTTGTTTTCCCGGCTCTCCGAGTTCCCCCACCCAACCGCGGGCCGCTGGGCGGGACGGGGACCCGGCCCCGGACGCCTGGGTCCTGCGGGCCGCTCCCGCCAGGGTCTGCGTGGCCCGGGAGGGCCGGAGGTGGGGAGTGGGGAGGCGGTGGCCGGGCCCAACTTTTTTCCCTGTCCGTTTCTCCCACTTCCTCCCCGGTCGTGGGAGAGGTCCGGCGGGGGACGGGGGCGGGGGAGGAGGGGACGAGCGCGAGGACAGCCTGACCCGGCCCGGCCGGCCGCGCGCTGCACACAGTAGGCGCCCGGGGCGCGCTGGCGGGTGCGCTCAGCCCCCTGGCGAGGGGGGCTCCCGGCCTCAGTTTCCCCTCCCGCATTCCCTGGGACGGAGAGGGCCCGCACCTGCTTTCGCTGAGCGCTTTCCCGAGCGCTTCTGGAGTGGCTGGCTCTGTCCGGGGTCCTGTCTACCTCCATCCCAACATCTCATCGCCTTGTCATGTTATTATTTATTGTTCTCGTCCCTATTACCACCATCACCTTACAGGCAGGAAACTTCCACTGCCACGGGCGACAGGGACCCCGTCTGTCCTCCGCTGACTTCAAAGATTTCCTTCCCCCCACCCCCTGCACTTGACGGCTTCTTCGCACAACATCTTATAAGCGCCTTTCAGCTCCCAAACGGGGTGAATTGACTTTTGTAATAATGATTTGGCTCCGAGGGGAAACCCGGGAGGCCCCCAGAGGGGAAGTGACAGCCCTGGGACTTGCAGCCTGAAACCAGCGCCGAGGAGATGGGAAGGGACTGAGGGAGGGGCCAGTGGGTCCAGGGCAAGGGTGGAACCCGGGGACTTTGTTCTAACGACCCTGCCTGGCATATAAGCCAGGCTTCCTTCCTTAAACTAGCCTGCCACCAGCCTGGGGACAAGAAGGGACAACCAGAAACCCTTTTGCAGGTCTCAGGATTGTGCATGGAGAGCTGCAGGTGACTGAAGCTCAGGCCTCAGTCCCAAATGGTCTTACTTCCCCCCACCCCAAGCTAGGCTGGTTCAGCCAGAGCAGGCGTGACTCAGTTTCCCGCCCTGTACTGCCCAGCCTCAGATATCTTGCATGGGCTCTCCACAGTTAATAACCTGAGTGAGAGGGCGCAGGGACTCCTGTGTGACATTGGTCTTGAATCTCATCCTCATCACGCCCTGGGAAAAGGCAAGGGTGACACGATTTTCACCTGACGTGAGGAAACTGAGCCCCAGACAGGGACAAGGAGCAAAAATGTTGAATCCAGCCTTCCCCCGCACTCTGGACCCTGCCAGAGGGGCTGGGGGTGGGTCCTGCAGGAAATTCCAGCCTGGCAGACCCTGACCCCGTGCCCGCTCCTGCCCCTGCAGTGAAGATACAATGAGGGAGCGAGGCAAAGATGTGTGCTGACTCCCCTCCTCAGTCCCCCCCCCAAAAAAATAGCCAAGCAGATACTATTTTTAAACCTAATAAAGTTATACTATTTTAAAACCTAATAAAGTATAAAAGATTGAGTTACTGTGTGGCCTTGGGCAGATTGCTCAACCTCTCTCATCCTTAGAGTCTCTTGGAGAGAATAACGGTAGAGACTTCCTAGGGTTGTGACAAGGGAGAAACAAGATGGTACAGGTAACGTACTTAGCACAGTGCCTGCACCAGGGACGTCCCCAGTACACCGTAGATGTCATTGTGTTGTTGCTATTATTATTTGGGCAGAGATGAAATCCACATTTCCAAAGGTGAAAAACTCACACACACTCAAGGCATTTTGGACCTCATTGGCAGCCCTCCATAAGATGCTTGGCAAAAGGGGTCTTGGAATGTACGGGGACCAGCTCCATCTCAGCAATAGAACAATATAAAAGTTGATAAAGAATCGCCACTTGTCTCAAAACAGATTTGTTCCACGGCGAGTGGTAACACCACCTCTCTTTTCTAAGTTCCACCTTTCCGTGTTGTTTTAGTCTGTCTATGCAGTGGGGGTTATTATCCCCAATGTACATGATGAAGACACAGAGACCCAGAGAGGGTAAGTAACTTACCAAAGACACACAGCGAGCAAGTAGGGGGACTTGAATTCGAGTTATGTTGGCTAAACTGCAAAGTTATAATATTTTAAGCAGATCATTCTTGTCACCATAAATGCGGGTTGCTTTTGGGATGGGGAAGTAGGGGTGATGGGGAGCAGGGTGACAGAGCTCGTGTTCACTCTATTCTTTGATCTTTTGAATTTTGTAGGATGCATGCATTACTTATAATAAAATAAAAAATATTTTTTAAAGTAACTTTCCTTAACTTTTGTGCCTCAAAGGACATCAGCAAGAAAGTGAAAGAAAAACCCACAGAGTGTGAGAAAATATTTGCAAACCGTAGATCTGATAAGGGTCTACCCAGAATACAGAAAGAAATCTTAAACTTGGCAATAAAAACAGAAATAACCAAATTTTTTAAATGGGCAAAGGAGTTGCACAGACATTACTCTGAAAGAGATCAACGATGGCGAATAAGGCTCATGAAAAGTTGCCCAACATCATTAGTCATAAGGGAAATGCAAATCAAAACCACCGTGAGATGTCACTTCACCTCTGCCAGGACGGCTAGAGTCAAGAAGACAGACACTAGCAAGAGTTATCGAGGATGCAGAGATGCTGGAACCTCCTACATGGCTGGTGGGAACAGAAATGGTGCAGCTGCTGTGGGAAACCTTCTGGCAGTTTCTCAAAAGGTGAAACATAGAATTACCATCTGACCCAGCAATTCCATTCTTAGGTATATACTCAAGAGAAATGAAAACACATGTCCACACGAAAACTTGTACACGAATATTCACAGCAGCATCATTCACGATACCCCCAAAAGTGGAAAAAACCCAACGTCCATCAACAGGTGAATGGATACACACAATGTGGTCCAACCATGTAGTGGAATATTACGCAGCCGTGAAAAGGAGTGAGGCACTGACACAGCCACACTGAGGACAGACCAGTGTCCTTGAACAGACCGGTCATCACTTGAACACACAATGCTCAGTGAGAGAAGCCAGACACAAAAGGCCACACGGTGTGTGATTCCACTGATGTGAAATGTCCAGAACAGGTACATCCACAGGCAGAACGTGGATCAGCAGATGCCTGGAGCTGGGAGGTGTTGGGGGGATTGGGGAGTGACTGCTAGCGGACAGGAAGTTTCTTTTTAGGGTGATGGAATGTTCTGGAATTAGATAGTGGTGGCTGCACAACTCTGTGAATACACTAGAAACCACTGAATTATAGACTTCAAAAGGGTGAACTGTATGGCACGTGAATTATATCTCAATAAAAAATTATTTAGGTATATAAACATCATTCTTTTTTGATTAAGGAACACTTTGCAGCCTACAAAACTCTTATGCCTTCCTTATCTCATTTAATCTTCAAAATGCCTGAGATATTTTAAGAGAATGTGTCTCAGTACAGAAGGCCACACAGGTTTGCCTCAGTTTACCAGTAGTGGCGAGCGCCGTATCTCTCTCACATGCAGCCACAAAACAAGGGCACGGGGCCCTTGGGCACTGGCTTCCAAAGTCTTTAGGTTTTTCACGGTTATTGACTGTTCTCTCAACCATGACCCGAGAGGGGAGGGGATGAGGGGCCTCCCCCAGCTGCTGTGGGTGAATTCAGGGCTGCAGGTTCAGAGGGCTCAAGGCTCAATGTGTTAACAGAGTTTGCACACGGGCCTTGGGCACCCTAAGCAACATTCCTGGAGAAAGATCTGGCAAAGGGAGCTGGGGGTAGGTGTTCCAGTTTTGAAAAAGGAAGGGACACAGGTAGGTTCCAGAACCCAGGGTCACTGAGTCTGATGGGGACCCCATGATGATTCTAGAACATTCTATTCAGCAGTTAGTCTGCCTGGAAGCCCACAGAGCCAGGCCCGGGCGCCACCCATGGGCCAGGTCCCTGATCTCCGGCTCACATTCTAGTGGAGACTAAAGATAATAAGCAAAGAGACAAATAAATAAAAGAATTTCAGACAATTATCAGTACAATGGAGACAGTTAACCAGAGGAACTGGAGAGACAGTGATCCAGGCCCGGGGGCTATTTTTTTTTTTAAATGAACATGTGTCAAAAGATTTTATTTCACTCATTCATTAATGAGGAAACCAGTAAGAGGTTACAGCAGGTTCCAAGGAAAATTCAAACACCCATATGTGAGCCAATCAGAAAGGCTAGAATGAATTTACAAACAGAAGCAAAACGTGGCTGTGCACAATTAATTTGTATTTCTATGGACTAGAATCCCTGCCGTTATTATCAGTTTTCTGCAACATACACGGTTGGAAAATAGCTCAAAGACAGCGAAACGCACAGAGACCCCGTGGAATCAGACAACATCTAGTTTTGTCTAGGGGTGAGGTTTTTTTAACGGTCATTGGGACACTTCTTTCGTGAGCGGAAATCTGCGTGAGGATCTGGGGACAGACTCCCAGGTGGAAGGAACAGCAGGGTAAAGGCCCAGAGGTGGGACTAAGTTTGTGATGAGCTGGGGAGGAGGGATGAGCGGATGAGTGTTAACGGGTACAGGGTATCTTTTTGGGGTGACGGAAATGTTCTAAAATTAGATGGTGGTGATGGTTGCACAACTTTATGTATATTTTGAAAACCACTAAATTGTACACTTTAAAGAGTGAATATTCCGGTATGTGAATTACATCTTGATTTTTTTTTAAAGCAAAGCAACACCCATGTTCACAGAAGCAGGATTCACAACAGCTAAAACGTGGAAACAACCCCAGTGTCCATGGATGGATGATGGATAAGTACAATGTGGTCCATCCACATTGAATATTCCATCCACAGGAATATTACTCAGCCTTGAAAAGGAAGGAGATTCTGACACCTGTTCCAACGTGGATGGACCTTGAGGACATGACACTCAGTGACATGAGCCAGACACAGAAGGACAGATACTGTGTGATCCCCTCACAGGAGGCCCCTAGAGGAGTCACATCCACAGAGACAGAAAGTAGATGGTGGGGCCAGGGGCTGGGGGAGGGGAGGGGAGTCAGTGTTTCATGGGGACAGAGTCAGTTTGGGAAGATGGAAAGTTCTGGAGACGGATGGTGGGGATGGCTATGCAACAATGGTAATGTATTTTAACTACTGAACTGTATGCTTAAAAATGGTTGAAAGGGTAAATGTTCTGGTATATATATTTTACCACAATTATTTTTTTTTCAAGGAGGGGAAAGTCAGTTGACTAACAGAAAAAGGGCATTAGTGAAAAAACTTGTGTCATCCGAATACACCGTGGGCTTTCGTTAATGGCGATTTGTGAGCTGGTCCTCAGCCGTGACCAACATGCGGTGTGGCACAGTGCCAGCATTAGGGGAAAGCAGGGGGAGGGGTATATGGGAAATCTCTTTAAGATCTTTGCAACTTTTCTGTAAATTAAAAAATTTTCCAAAATAAAAAATTTATTTCACAGCGAAAAGAAGCAAATATTGAGGCTACAAGATTGTATACATTTTTTAAACCCATCAAACTGTATACTTAATATCTGTGTGTTTTTACTGTCTGTAGCCTATACCTTAATTAAAAAAAAAAAAAAACAGAAATAAAAACACCAGAAAAAACTCACTTGACTTATATATAAAACTATGCTTAACCTTTGGCCCAGAGATTCTGTATCTAGAAGTTTATTCAAAAGAAAGAATTTGGGGTGTGCTTCAGCTGCAAGGATGCTGCATCTAGCCCGGTTTATAAAATCGAAATCCTGGAAAGGGATGCAAATGTTCTGTAATCGAGTTTTGGTGATTAAATGGGTGTGATATTCAAAATGTTTAACCAGCCAATTAAGCCCGGGCACTGACCAGTTGGGATGAAAAGTGGGCCAATCCGAAGGAAAGATGGAAGCTGTGGCCAGGACTGTTCTCACGTGAACTGGCTCAATTCGATCCTGGCTCACGTCCACACGATGGAATACCATGCAGCTGCGAAAAATGGTCCTGAAGATGAATATATCTTGAAATGGGGAGATGGTCCACCTATAGGAACGGGAAAAGTGGGTTACAAACCAGTACAGTTAAAAAGTCCCCATTATTCTTAAAAATATACACACAGTATATCCCAGTACATACACCGAGGTATCAACAGTGGTCATCTGTATGTCGTGTGATAAGGGTGAATTTCACCCCTGCCCCAAAGCCCCAGTAGATAGTTGTGTGTCACAGCTGCACATCCTTCTAGTTGCTGTATGTGGGACGCGGCCTCAGCATGGCCGGAGAAGTGGTGCGTCGGAGCGCGCCCGGGATCCGAACCCGGGCCGCCAGCAGCAGAGCGCACACGCTTAACTGCTAAGCCACGGGGCCGGCCCAAGGGTGAATTTGTTGCTTCTCTGAATATTTGAATTTTTCTTCAATAAATATATATTGCTGTCTTAAAATGAAAAGAAAAAAAGCCAAGCTAATTGCACTAGATAGAAAGAAAATAACTTATGAGGGTTTTGTAACAAATTACCATAAACTTGGTGAATTGAAACACAAATTTATTTTCTTATATTTCTAGAGGTCAGAAGTCAAAAATGAGTCTTACAGGCTACAATCCAGGTCTACAATCAGGCAGGGCTGTCCTCCGGAGGCTCCGTGGAGAACCTTCTCCTGCCTTTTCCAGCTTCTAGAGGCGCCGCGTCCTGGGCTCGGGGCCCCTTCCTCCGTCTGCACAGCCCGCAGCGCAGCGTCTCCCGTCTCTCTCTGCCTCTCACCCTCCTCCTCCCTCTGACGAGGACCCTGTGGTGACACTGGGACCCGGGGATCCAGGGTCATCCCCATCCCAGGAGACTTAACTTAATCCATCTGCAAAGTCCCTTTTACCACATAAGGGAGCATATTCACAGCTTCCAGGGATTAGGACGTGGATATCTCCAGGAGACCATTATTCTGCCCAGTACAGGTTTGAATGGACAAACCAGGCAATTAGTAGGGCAACCAGGCTTCTGAAAAAGCCAATGTGATTTCCTGCCACATTATTAGAGGTCTAGTGCTCAGCTCATGGGAGGTGGTGGTCTTGCCAAACCATTTAGAGGGAGCAGACCAGGATAGTGAAGGGAGACAGGGAGCCATGTCCCACAAGGAAAGACAAACTGTCAGCCAGGCCTGGTTCGAAGGAGTCTTCTTTGTGGCTGATGTGTAGAAGATGGAATTGATTCTGGGGGTTTCCCGAGGAAAGGATGTCAGACCTGGTCTTGGTGCTGTCTGAGTCTCCGCCCACTGCCTGGCCTACTGTACTGGGTTCAGTTAGTGCATCGTGTACTCTACTGCCAGGAGGGTGGATCGGCACTCTATCAGGAGAACCTTCTGGAAGCCTTGTGGGGAGCCCTTCCACCAGACTCATTTGGTCTAGCTCCAAACTGCTAACAAGGCTGCAGAGGCCTAAATCAGAGAATCCAGAGCAAAGTCTAGTTCCTAAAACTATACTAGTGTTTGCACACCCGTGTTCACAGCAGCGTGATTCACAGTAGCCAAGAGGTGGAAACAGCCTAAATGTCCATGGAGGGATGATGGATAAACACAGTGTGTCCATCCACACACTGGAATATTATGCAGCCATGAAAAGGAAGGACATCCTGACACCCGCTCCAACGTGGATGGACCTGGAGGACGTGATGCTCAGTGACATGAGCCAGACACAGAAGGACAGACACTGTGTGATCCCTTCACAGGAGGGCCCTAGAGGAGTCACACCCACAGACACAGAAAGTAGATGGTGGGGCCAGGGGCTGGGGGGGGGAGGGGGAGTCAGTGTTTCATGGGGACAGAGTCTCAGTTTGGGGAGATGGAAAGTTCTGGAGACGGATGGTGGGGATGGTTGCGCAACATGTGAATGTGCTTCATACCACTGAGCTGTGCCCTTAAAATGGTTACAATGGTGACTTTTACGTATATTTTACCACAATAAAAAATCAAGGTTCTGATAGCTAAAAAAAAGAAAAGAAACGATATTGGGGTCCAGTGTAACAGAGGCCAGGCTTTTCTATTTGTCAGATGAAGACATTAGAGAGAAAAGAGCCCTCAAACCACCCCCCACAACTATAGAGACAAGTGGCCACCGGCTCTGACCCTCTTGACACAGCCGTGACCACTCGCAGGCACATGGCCGATGCTGTGGGCAGGGCCTCTGCATTTGGTGCCCAGGGTACCCGGAACTCATGCGCGGCTCCAGAGAAGGCCAGGCGGGCTTCCAGAAGCCTCCGCCCATTCAGGCTCCTCCCACGGCCCCGGGGCCCCTCCCAAAACGCGCTCGGGGCAGAGCTAACATTTAACCGGCACAGCCCGGGTGGCCAAACCAGGTGTGCAAGTATGGAAATCACTGTGGCCCGGAGCCCCCGGGGACCCCTGCCCCCCCAGCCCTCCCCTGGGCCACCCCCGAGCATCCTGGGAGCAGCAGACCCTCCCCCAGCCCCTGGATTCATAGCGGTTGGGTCGACGCCTGGTCTATTTGCAACTGGGGGCTGGTGCACCTCCCTGGAGAGGCCTCGGAGCGCAGAAGAAGGGGAGCCGCTCTGGCTGGCGCTGCGCCGTCCTCACCCTGCTCCCCAGCCCAGCCTTCCCGTCTGCGCAACGCGCCCTCTGGGTTTCCACCCGGCTCTGCCCGCTCCCACCTGTGCGCTGGGCTCCTGGATGCCCCCTCACTTCCAGGCTCGACCACTGCCCCCCAGAACCCTGGAGAGGGCTCCAAAGCGGGGCGCCAGCCTGCCTGCCTTTGGGGTCCGGCTCAGAGCTCTGCCGCGCTCCCACACCGCGGGAATTGGCTTAGGGCAGTGGGTCATACCAGCGGGTGATTCTCCGTCCCCAGGAGACACTGGGGGACATCTGTGGTTGTCACACTGGGGGTGCTCCTGACATCGACTGGGTGGGGGCCAGGGATGCCGCTCCGCCCCCCACAGCGCCCAGGATGGCCCCCCACACAGAGAGTGATTGGGCCCCAAATGTCCCCAATGGCGAGGGCGACAAGCTCTGGCCTGGGTCTAACTTCCATCCTGCCCGCTGGCTCCTCCCTCTCTGTACTCTGCAGTGACGGGGAACCGCTGCCCGGTGGCCTCCGGACAGCCAAGCCCTTGAGCCCCCCGCTGCCCTCCAATCCCAGCTCCCCAGCAGACCCTCCTGCCCCCACCGCCCGAGGCGGCCCGTCTCCACTGTGGGGGGGCCTCGCTTTCCATCTGCGCCACGGGCCTGAAGCCGGGTAATCCGCCGAGGCCCGGAGATGGTTCCCGGGGGTCAGCGTCACCCCGAGGGCCCCCGAGTGAACAAGGCGGGTCCCGGCCCGGCCCCTCCACGGCCACCCACGAGATGGCATCCCGGGAGAGAGGCAGCGCGGGGAGACCCGCCGTGGGGGCAGGCGGCGGGCGAGAGGGAGGGAGAACGTGGCAGCAGTGCTGGCCAGCCAGACCTCCCCTCGGTCTTCTTTTTTTAAAATCACCGCAATTTAAAAAGCCGCTCCTCCCTTCATCCTGCCTCCTGCCACGTGGGCCGGCCCCAGGAGGCCCCCCTCGCCCCGCTCTGCCGGGCCAGGCGCCGGGCCTGGCTTCAGTTTCACTTTGGTGTCACTGGTTTCACTTTCAGAGCCGGGGAGAGAGAGAGAGACGAGAGAGAGACAGAGAGACAAAGAGACAGAGAGATAGAGACAGAGAGAGAGAGGGAGACAGAGAGAGAGGGAGACAGAGAGGGAGAGAGGGAGAGAGGGAGAGAGAGAGGAGGGGAGGGAGGGAGAGAGAGAGATAGAGGGGCAGAGAGAGAGAGATGGAGAGACGGAGAGAGGGAGAGAGAGACAGAGACAGAGAGAGAGAGAGACAGAGAGAGAGAGAGAGGGAGAGAGAGGGAGAGGGAGAGAGAGAGAGAGGAAGGGAGGGAAAGAGGGAGAGAGAGATGGAGGGAGAGAGAGAGACAGAGAGAGAGAGAGATGGAGAGAGGGAGAGACAGAGAGAGAGAGACAGAGAGAGACAGAGAGAGGGAGAGAGGGAGAGAGACAAAGACAGAGAGACAGAGAGAGAGAGGGACAGAGACAGAGAGACAGAGAGAGACAGAGACAGAGAGAGACAGAGAGACAGAGAGAGAGACAGAGAGAGACAGAGAGACAGAGAGAGAGAGGGACAGAGAGAGACAGAGAGAGAGAGAGACAGAGATAGAGAGAGACAGAGACGGGGGGGCTGTGTCAGGTGCAGGAGCAGCCTCTGCCCCCATCCTGAGGGACCACCCTCTGCAGCTCCCTTTCCTGGGGAAGGTCAAGGGGTCAAGGTCAAGCCCCCTCTGTGTGACCTTGGGCAGGACAAGCCAGCTCCTCCCTCTGGGCTCTTTCCCCCGCGGGGCTGGGAATCGCGTCCACCCCACGGGGTGCTAGAAAGATCAAAGCCCTGCTGGCCGCTGACCCGGGACAAGGACTGTCCCGCGATGTCCCCAGTGGGAGGGGGCGGGGCAAGGTCCAAGGCAGAACAGGATGTTGGCTGCCTTCACCCCTCGAGGCACCCTTGGCCCAGAAACCACCAGGAAGGAAGATCCATGTGGCCTGAGTCTGGGGCCCGGGTGGGGAGGGGAGACAGAGTCCCCTGAGATCACCGGCCGTGGCCTGGGGCTCCTGGTCTGGCAGATACGAGCTGGAAGCCCAGCTGCCTGTCTCTGGGACTCAGTGTTTTCACCTGTGAAATGGGGGTGGCCTTGTTCCATGCCCCCCCCACAGGGCCCTGCAGGCTGGGGGTCCACGGCGTGGTCAAGCCTGGCTGAGAGCCACTTAGGGCGGGACCTGGGCCCATTCACCTCTCTCCCCAGCACCCGCTCAGGGCCTGGTAAAGCACTCAGCCAGATGGGACGGGGGAGTCACCCTGGGAGTGTCAGCTACAGCCAGGCCAGATAGGGTGGTTTGTCTTTCTATAACAGCTTTATTGAGATGTAAGCCCCATCCCACACGGTTCACCCACTTAAAGTGTACATTTCACTGGTTTTTAGTACATTCACAGAGTTGTGCAATCATCACCACTATCTAATCGTAGAACATTCCATCACCCCAAAAGGAAACCCCGTCCCCATCAGCAGTTGCCCCCATTCCCTCCCCCAGCCCCTGGCAACCATGAACCCACTTTCTGTCTGTGGATCTGCCTGTTCTGGACACTTCACATTAATGGACTCACAGACTGTGTGGCCTTCTGTGTCTGGTTCTCACCGAGCATTGTGTGTTCAAGGTCCATCCACAGTGTGGCTGTGTCAGGGCTTCATTCCTTTTCCTGGCTGAGTAATATTCCACTATGCGGATGGACCACATTGTGTGTATCCATTCTTCAGCTGGTGGACATTTCAGTTGTTTCCAGGGTGAATCATGCTGCTGTGAATGAGGGCAGGTGTTCAGGTAACCAGAGCAGGTCTCTATCAGCGTCTGTCCACCTGCAGTAAATGACGCATGGGGACCCTGTGTTTTCCGGGGTAAGAAGCAGACCCTAAAATGTACAGAGAAAAGCAGCACCCAACACAGGCTGCCGGGCACCTTCCCCGCCCCCATCCAGGTTGGCCCCAGTGTGAACCTGGGACTTCCAAACACGAGACTCTGAGAGGCTTCCAGAACCTCAGGGGCAGGCCCAGTGAGCAGCAGGGCCAGGAGAGTGAGGAACACAGGTCCCCGAAGAATGGTGGCTTTCCTTTAATGAGGAGGAGAGCTGGGCTGGGGGTGGGTAGGTCAAAGG